GAACTGGGCTAATGAATCTTGAGAATGAAATGTGGCTGTGGAATGGGAAATGTGAATATAATACGGAGATGAAGGATTGCTAAGCAATACTGTGAGTTCAGCTTGTGTCAGCTAGCATATACAGTAAAACCTTGGACTGCGAGTAACCTGGTTTGTGTTCCACAAGACGAGCGAACATTTCTAATTTATTTTAACTTGGTAAACGAGCGATGTCTTGCAATATGAGTAGTTTGTTTCTGGAATGAATTATGCTCGCAACCCAAGGTATTACTGTACTTGCATCAAAAACAGCTAGATTCTGGGCCAGCTGAGTGGCTCAGTTGGTTAAGAGCTCGCTCAAGAGTGCAAGCTCTGTGCAACAGCAGTTCAATGCCTGACCCGAGCTGAGCTGCTGCTGAGCTGCCAACAGGTGGCAGGATGGCTCAGCTAAAACAAACAAACAAACAAACCCAGCTAGATACTTTGAATTCTTCCACTTGTCAGTCAGATCAGGAAGTGAAAAATGGGAGGTAAAGATTTCCGGAATTTGATCAGGTGGCAACCAGGTACAGGCCCTGTCCTCATGGAGGTCACAGTCCAGCATGATGTAAAGATATTAAGTAAATCATACAAGTGGGTAATATTTACAAAATCAGACCAGTTCTCTGCAGCAAAAAAAATTGGTTCCATGAGAAGAAACAATAAAGAAACTGGGTGGGTACAGAGGTCATGGGGGGCTTCCTGGAGGAGCTATAGCTCGAGATCTCAAGTTCAAGTAGAAATGGACTCTCTGGGCCTTGGTTTCTCCAATTCTAAAAGCACAGGGAATAAAATCTCTTTCCTGCCACTGCCCCACAGAGCTGCCTATGAGCTTAAAAGAAGGAACAGATGGAAGCACTAGGTGGCAGGAAAAAGCACTACATGGAAATAGCTGGCGGCTTTTTATTTTTTAATTTGTTATGGGTCAGGCATGCAAGATGTGAGTTGGGAGGGGCTGGAACAGGGCAATTAAAAAATTTAAAAACAAAAAATCCCAAATTTGAGAATGGCAAAGTGAATAGGTTCACTCTTCAGACGAAACAAATCTATGTAACAAGTGTATAATGAAATTTCATCCTTGGTATTAATAGCTTTCAGTTTCCATTCTCATGATTGGTATATGAAAACTGTTCATTTTCAAGATGCCATAGTCAACTAGTACTGAAGCCACAGTTCTTATAACTTAAAAGCTGGATAGGTCCTTATTGGTCACCTAGTTTTAAGAGATGAGAAAACTAAGGTCATAATGATAGTGGCAGAGGTATACAGGTCTACTGATTTTCACTTCAGTGCTCTTTCCACTATACCACAAATTCTTCTAGAAAGTACAGTGCCAAAGTAAAACACATCACTGTGTGTATGGCCTTCCACTTTGTGCTACGGTCTTAAAAGGAGAATCTATAGCATCTCCTAGAATTCTTATCTAAAGTCAGCCTTGTCTTCCTTTAAAACACAATAGAAGCTAATAAGCAATTTGCCTCAGCAAACAAATGTATGGTTTGCCTTAAGGATTTTTATACATTGTTTCCATGACCCTGGGTTAAGGTAAGCCTTGTGAACCAGAAACGGATTCAGAACCTGTTATATTTTGATTTGAAGTAAGGTGAGACAAAGTGAAATCAGACCTCTGCATAAGTGTGAAGAATAATACATATCAATAAGCCAGGGAAATCATTCCAGGTTACGCTTGGGTATTCTTTATAGTCCTAAGGTTGAGCCTAGTTAAGGAGGACCGTTGCAGTGCTGGCTGAATTATGGGCTGCCTAAAAAGAGATGGGATCTGCAGGAATTTCAAAATGCCTCCAAGGCAAGGTTTACAGTAAGAGGGAGGGAAAAAAGAAGCAACACTGCAGTACAGGTAAGCAAAGAAATCAGGATGACTTGAGGCCATGATCTTTACACCTGTTCTCAAAAGGTAGCTCAGTTCTACAGGAATCTCAGGGTCCTCTGTTCCCCTCAGAGGCCAAGCAATCACAGCTTCTCTCTAAGCTGTGTAAGCGTTTTATCAATTGAAAATAGTAGTTTGCTGGGCAAAGAGATAGACAGAAGTACAAAGAGTCAGGTAGCAAACAAAAGCCTAGAAGGCTGAAAGAATTTTTTTTTAAAGTATCTGTATATAGTTCTTATTATTAACTTGAGGACTGACTCAGTACACTAGATCTTATAGATCTGCAAAAAATGATCTTCGCAGGAAATCTCTGTTACCTGAAGATGAAAAGGAATGTGAACCAATTCAGACTTTGCCAACTGACAGTTCAGGTGAAGGCCCTCTGGGATGGCCAGAAAGCAGAGTAGAGTATACACAAAATTGCAGAACAGTTCTTTCCCTTGGGACGCAAAAAAAAAAAAAAAAAAGAAAAAGAAAAAGAAAAAAGGAAGACAGATACTAAATCCTGAAACACAATATGTTAAGTGGGATAAAACATGGTATTAAACATAGGAGAACTAAAAATCTTACAAATTTAATTAAATAAATGAGAATGATCTCAAAGCTGATGAAAGTAGTTATTTATTCTAAGTTTCAGAGAAGGTATAGAATTTTGGAAAGTATTTGACATGGCTTCTAAGTTCAAACAATGTTATAGTATCTATTAGATATAAATTAACATAGATACAGAAATGACAATGACATAAGCATTCATTCATTCAAACAAATATTTTTGAGGGCCTACTACAGGTGTGAGGTGTTAGGTATATAATGGTGAGCAAAACAGAGTTCCTGAGCTGACAGAACTTCTAAAACAGTGGAAGAGATATACATTAATAGAAAAATACAATTACAGATGGCTCCCGATTAATAATGATCTGACTTGATTTTCAACTTTACGACAGCGTGAAAGCCATATGCATTCTGTAGAAATTGTATTTTGAATTTTGATCTTTTCATGGGCTAGTGCTATGCTGTACCATACTCTCTTGTGATACTGGGCAGCAGCAGTGAGATGATTTTGCCCAACTGCAGGCTACTGTAAGTGTTCTGAGCATGTTTAAGGTAGGCTAGGCTAAGCTATTATGTTCTATAGGGTAGGTATAATAAATGCATTTTCCACTTACTGTATTTTCAACTCACGATGGGTTTATCGGGACATAACCCCATTGTAAGTCAAGGAGCATCTGTATATACAAAATTGCAAATTGTAATGAGTGGTGTGAAATAGTACAGGTTGCTTTAAAAGTATATGATACAGGAACTTGGTAATAGGTTGCCAGTGACAACCAGAGAACCCTTCAGAGCAAATAATTTATATATATGTGTGTGTGTGTGTGTGTATATATATATATATATATAAAATTGTGCTAACATCCCCCTGGCAGGGAAAGAGAGCAGGGATCCTCAGATAAAAAGGTATCCACTGTTTTCAGGAGAGTAAAAGGTTAGCCTCACTCTCTTGCAGTTTTTATCAGGTTCATATACATGAAAAGCATTTCACCCTTGGAGAAAATTCACCAGCATACAGATCGGTAGAATAAATAGGTAGGAAATTGATGTCTTCTATCTTCAATATATTGAGGCAACAGACCCTGAAGGTTGCTTGGTGGCTCAGAGCTGTGGTCTGGATATGTCTGTCATTCCAACAGACACTGTGGCTGTTCAGATGTTTGGCCATAGGCAAATGACATTTTAAAAATCAGAGATAGCCACTTTTTGATTTCCAGATTGCATATTGTATACACATATCCAGAATCAACCTCTAGGGTCAAGCCCTCTCCACTGTCTCTGCATCAGTTTCCAACACAATAGGATTTTTATTTTTTTGCATTACCGTCTCAGGCATACAATAAAACCTCTTCAGCAATATTATTCTAAAAGCTGAAGCTTTACTATATAACTAATGATTAGAGAGCCAAGAACACAGAATTCTTAAGCTGTATCACATCACTGCCAACTGCATGGTAGACTTTAAATAAATACTGAATCACAACAAGATATTCAGAGAAACAGGCTTTTAACAGAATGACCAGAATGAAACGCCTGAATTTCCACGGGCATACTGACAAGATAGCTTATGATAATCAGAGATAATGAGCTGTGCTCCTCTGGGCCTCTAAACTCCTCAGAGTGGGGATGCTTTGAAAGCCTGGTTATTGATGCAGAGACCTGATGGGACTCTGAGGCCCAGCCTCTCTAACCACACACGCTTGACAAGAACTTGGATTTTTCACAAAAAGAATGTATTTGCTGAAATCAAATTGCCACAGATGGTACCAAGGGATCTGAAATACCCGTTAAGTCCCTTTGCACTCCTATGTTTTCAGGTGTATGAACTTCTAAAACAGAAGCAATTCTGTTCTCAGGGGCAAATGGAACATGTAAGGAGCCGGGATGGTAGCCTTGGGCAGCAGCACACTACAGCGAGCCAATTGCTTAGTGGGTGCCTGAAAACAAGACCATGTAAACACTTCCTTGTTGCCCAGGCCTATAAAACCTGTGCTAAGTGACAGATGCATGAAGTGGCGTGGGTGGCTGGGCAATGAGGCAGCTAGTGGGAAGGAGCTGGCTGCTGCTTCAGGTATTCAAAAAGGCAAGAGTTACACATTCAATGAGCCAACACTAAGTCAATTTAAATGGTTTCCATTTCCTTGACTCCCACAGCTGCCCTTTTATTACTTTTCTCTTCAAGTCCAAAAGTTTATTTATATTTGAATTCTCCCATATAAAATGATAGAGATGGGTGGGTATGGGAAGTATAGACACAGTCTGAATTACCTGTCCAGCACCTATCAAATGACTGTTTAAGTACTAGGGCCAACACCTGAATAGTTACGAAGGGGAGATAATTCATTAAAAAACAAACAAACTGGCAATCTTTAGAAGCTGGGCAATTTCACTGAGAAGTTCGCTGTAATCCTCTGGGTAGGAATCACCAGCAGACTATGGCCACTTGAGAATCTTAATAAATATTTGGTATTATTTAAAATAATAAGCCCCTGCTGGCAGGAGCAGGGTGAGAAGGGGTGGGAAAACCACACATAACACTTACCGTCTTCTGTTTCTTGCCACACGATGCCCTCGAGGTTGACGCTTGTCCCAGGTTCACAGGGGCCCAGGCACTCGGGCTCGGTGGCTAGAGCCACATCACATGTGTTGACTCCGACTGATCGGGTACGAACCATGATCTGCTCACAAGGGGATGAGATGTCATTACTGACCACTGGCACCAAAAGGTGCAGTGGCAGCACTGCTGGCGTGGAGACAGGGGACTCCATCTGTGGGGGAAGAGAAAGCAGTCGCTGAGTTAGAGAGAACGTTTAGAGGAAATACCATCTCTGTATGCCATCTAGTTCTGCGTCCTTTCCTGTCAGAGTGTGGAGGGCTCTAAATATAAGACTGATTCTTCCTTTCAAGTTCTAGTTCATGATACCACTACAAACCTAGCGTTTAGATGGGTGCACCCTACCTTAGCCTAGGAGAAGCTCTATTTCTTATTAACAATTTTCCTCATAAACTCTGCTTGGCTACGAGTATAAAAAAAAAATCTTGCTTCATTTAAAAATCGCTAGTGAAAGAGAATCAGGGCCAGATTTCAACAATAACAGGGCACACAGAGAAAGGAAAGGACCAGCTTCTGAGCCATGTTCTACTGCTGCCATCATGCATCCTGACAGTCTATCATTCAACAAGTAATATATTAGCCAGGTATAAAATCCAAGAATACGGGAGGGGATAAAGGGGGTAGAAATATCCAGATCCTAGGAATGCCACTTCAAGAAGCCTGGAGCTTTCATTCATCTCCATCTAGGAAGGAAATCTACTTAAAAGTTATACAGGAGACCAGGAAGCAACCTGATTGGGGTTTTTGTTATAACAGCAATTGGTTAATGAGAATGGCATTTTGGAGTGTGAATCTAACATCAAATTTATCTGTAAGAAACAGGAGGTGCTGTTACTATCCAGAAATCAATCCACAGCAGTCTACAGATGAAGTTGATTACGCACACAGAGACAGAAATAGTTGAACACAAGGACCATCAATCTACCTCCAAATCTAGAACCTCTCACAAGAATGCAGTTACTTAGATTCCAAGAAGAATGCAACACATCCAGTGTTTTGTTTTGTTTTTAAAGATTTTATTGGGGGGCCGGCTGAGTGGCTCAGTTGGTTAAGAGCTCGCTCAAGAGTTTGAGCTCTGAGCAACAATGGTTTGTTTCCCGGTCCGAGCTGAGCAGCCGCTCAACTGCCAACAGGTGGCAGGATGGCTCAGCTTAAAAAACAAAAAAGATTTTATTGGGGAATTGGTGGAGGGGAACAGTATTGGGGAAAGGGACCAGCCAAGTTGTTGTTCTTCAATCTTTGTTGTGCAGGGCGCTAGTCGCCATCTGGCTTTCCGTCGGCAGCTCGTGGCCTCTAAGCTCAAGGTGCTGTGTTCAGTCTTAGTTGCGGGTGGGCATAGCCACCATTCCATGCGGGAGTCGAGCCAGCAGCCTTATTGTTAAGAGCGCGCGCTCTATCTACTGAGCCATTCAGGCAGCAGCTCAGCTCAAGGTGCCGAGTTCAGTCTTAGTTGCAGGGGGGCATAGCCCACCATAGAACAGGCAATCTTGTTGTTACACCAGCTGAGCCATCCTTACACCCGTTGGCAGCTCAGCGGCAGCTCAGCTCGGGCGCAGCGTCACTGGCCCATGTGGGAATCGAACTGGTGGCCCTGTTGCTCAGAGCCTTCGCTCGTAAGCCAACTCTTAACCAACTGAGCCACTCGGCTAGCCCCCACATCTAGTGTTAAATGAAAAGTTGTAATAGAGGGTAACAATCCCTTAACTCTTTAAATCCCAGCATTTATCAGGTTGACAGAGTGCCAACTGAGTCTATAAGTGCCCAAATCCTAACTGAACATAGTGTCTTGCGTATGCAAAGCCACTCAACACACACTGACTGATCTTCCCTGAAGATTAAGTATGATACCAATCAGCAGACCTAGAAAATGATAGTCAAGGATTGGGGCCCTCTTCCCTTTGTTAATTTTTAGTCCAGGTTGAATGTATTCTTTCAACAGATCTACATTTCGAGAGAGCCACACATTGGACCCATAATCCAAGCTGCTGGACAGCTTTGCAACAGAACTCTGGTTCTGGGATAGTTTACTGCACAATCACTGCTCTACCCATAATCCACCTTCCTCCTCTTAACACATGTGTACGTGTGTGTGCGCGCACGCACACACACACACACACACACACACACACACACACACACACACACACACACACACACACACACACCCTTCCTGGCCTCCAATACTACTCTAGAAGCTGCAATCTGGGTATTGCATCCATTCTCTGCAGTAAGCTTTGACTTTCTGGCTTAGAAGTCACTGCTATTTGTGGATCATCACTGTCAAGAGTCCACAGAATGCTAAATACTTATTCTGATTAATGCCGGTCCCTGAAAAGCTGCCAAAACATCATTCTTATCAGCTTGTTGTCACACACATCCACCTTGTACTTCCCTAACTCCGCCTTTTTTGTAAAATGAAATGAAAGTGGAAGCCTGTGTAATGAATCTTCTGCATGATAGTAAATGCCAAAAGGCATTTTTGCTCTCTTTTGCACTCTTAAAAATCAGGCATTTATAACTTAATTTGGCATCCTTCTTGGGATGTGGTAGATCCTTGAAAGGCCCTTTAAACGTTTCCATGCACAGGCCTGAAAGTAGCAAGAACACAGAAAAAGTAATCTACTACTCCTAGCAGTGCTAGAATCTGGCTCTAATCATTAAGTCCTTTCAAGAATGCTACAAGAAGGTAGCTCATAACTTTTTTGGAAAGAAAGTTTTCTGGAGAGTTTACCCTTGAGAGTTACTAGAAAGGGGAAATCAGAGACAGGGTATACAGATCATCTTCACTCTTGGCCTTCCCGTTGTTTCTCTGTTCTTTTTCTTAGGCAAGAACCAAGACAAAAGCAATTTCGCAGTCAGCATGAGCATTTCCTTTGCTTAGAGTTCGTTCCCTTTTCTATACCTTTCTTCTACTAGCAAGGAAAATTCCTGCAAGGTCCTCTATCTATACAGAGACTGGCCTAAACCTTCTAGGTCACTCCTGTGAACTTCCTGATTGCTGTGCTCGGAGTGAACTTGTCCTGTTGCCAATCTGTTCCACTGCGGAGGCAGCAATCGCAAGCACAGAGGGAGGTAAGTCACCTACCAACTATACTCTCGGCCATCAAGGACGGCTCTTTTCTGGAAGTGGTTTCATTTCCTGCTAGGTTATTCAGTGCTGCTGGAGTCAGAAGATAAGCTACTAATAACAGTCTAGGTAAAGCCAAGCCCCAGTTCAGTACCAGCAGATCCAGAAAACAACATCTAAGATACAAGTAGGAAACACCACTGTTGCAATCAAGGACTTTGCCAAATTAAACCCTGCTATATGACATCTGAAGAAAGAAACTTAGCTGAACTGATCACTAAGAATAACAGATACACAAGATACACTAATACACAAAAGGAGGTGATTTTTTTTTTTAAGATTTTTTTATTGGGGAGTTGGGGGATGGGAACAGCGCTGGGGAATTGGGGAAGGGGAACAGACAAGTTGCTGTCCTTTTGTTCTTCAGTCTAGTTGTGGAGGACGTTGCTTCACTGGCCCAAGTTGGCACCATCATTGTGCTCTTCCCGGGCGAGGCAGAGCAGTCGCCGGCTTCTGGACGGCCGCTCACTGCGGCGGCTGGCCGCTCACGCTGGCTGCTGGCTACACACGGTAGCCCATGGCAACCTACTGCAGCAGGGGTTGCAGCCTACACTGTTGCCAGCGACTGATGGCAGCCCAGCTCCAGGTTGAGCTGTTGTTCAGCATCTTAGCTGTGGAGGGCCGTGCCACTGGCCCTCATATGTGGGATCCGAACCGGGGCCCTCTGGCGTCCCAAGCCAGCTCTTAACCAACGTGCCACTCAGCCAGCCCAAGAGGAGGTGATTTTAACATGTGCATGCATCAAACTACCTTACTGATCAGAGTTACTTAGTAGAGTTCAGGATCTCTGTGTGAGGGTGGCTTTATTTAATAATTTAGTTAATTAAAAGAGGTTTTTGGAGATGCGGAGAAGGGAAGAAATCCACCTCTGGGTGTGGAACTATTCAGTTTCCTTCCACTTTGCACAAATCTAAGGAGAAATCACAGAGCAGCACAATAATGTTTAATTACAGCTCCAGCTCTGCTAATGACCGTTTGGTCACATCTATAATCTACACTAAGCCAGAGTGCATAATAAGCAGCTCTGTGATACTCATCTAATAACCTAGGTGGCTTTATGGGATTTCATATTCTACTACTCACTGGAACAAACATAGCTTCACTTATCACTCTCCAGGAGAGAATGAAAATCAGGGAAGGATTCATTTTGCCATCTTTCCCATATACCTAGGATAGAGGAGCAGGAATTGTCAGGAGATTAGTGCCAGCAGGGAAAATAAGGAACAAGAATATAAAAAGTTAAGGTAATTAAATACCGTAACAACCAGGACAACAATAAAAGCTGGGCAAATTCTCATTCTCTGAAGTGCTAAGAAGTGCCACCTTGGATCCTGGGGCTCACTGAATGGGGAGGTAAACAACAAAACAAAATAAAACAAAAACCTTAAAAGAGACTTACAGAGAATTTAAAGATGGAAATCTCTTAAGCTTCCCAACAATTTATGTCCTTTATCTTTTAATGATACTTCTTTTCAATTCATCTTTAGATATTAGTTTTAATAGCACCTATTAGGGGTCTGAGTGCTGATAGGCAGGTGACACAGAAATGAGAACTGGAGAGAATAAAGAAAGGCCAAAGCCATTAAACTCCCCACAAGAAGTAATTATACACTGACTTTGGCTGCCTCCCACATGAGAGGCACTGATGGAGGAAAAATCTCAAGGTTGCAACAGAATTTTCGGGGTTGAAAATGCAGTGAAGAAACATTTGATTCACACTCTCCCTTCTCTTCACAAATAAGAGTCTAATATCTTAGGTAGAAAGGAAGCTGGTTCCACTGATAACTGCAGTAGCTCTGAGAAATTCCATTTTATCCAAGAATGAAAGATAACTGGGGATAATGGTTAGATGAACGTTCAGATTTATTCAGAATTATCAGATAAGATTATGTAGAAAATAGAATGTCAAATATATTAAGCACTATATTAATAAGATGTTCTCTTTCTTTAATAATTGCCAAGGCCCTTCAAGATTTTACAGTGACTCAGCATTGGCAGTACTAACAGTAACAGAGGTTCCTGATTCA